GCCTTCCGGCAAAGCCCGGCAAGGCCCAGTCATCTTGTGACTGGGCCTTGCAGGGCGTTGCCTGCGGATATATTGTTGGTGACAAGGCCTTCTGGCATTTAATTTTCAAAGCCCTGCAACGGCCCAGTCATCTTGTGACTGGGCCTTGCAGGGCACTGCCTGAGGACATAAATTTAAATTAGCAAGGTAGCCATGAAACTGAGAACAGTATCGTCAGGTGTCGTCAATAGGTTCCATTCCACTGCGTACTGATCAGCAGCATTTTTTCCTGGAGACTCACGTGCTAATCACACGAATTGAATTACACCCCGCCGGCAATATTTAATTGGCAGCGCCACCAAAAAACTGGAACGCTGACACACAGTCAACTGTCACATCACACGTTTTTAAACGCTTTAATGGACGTGGTGGACCCATCAGTTGTGGGTCGGCCTCCCAAATTTGGGACTTAAAAATGCGGACGTGGTAGCAATCAGGACCCACCAGTTGCCGATCTGTCCCCAAATTCATCTTTTCAAGCCGCCGTGCCAACTGCTGAAAGGCTTTGGCCTCACATTCCTGCACATTGACTGGGTAAGGACGAAAATGCAGAAATTCTTGGTCTTTATAACGCATCCATCCTCGTTCAGGCTAGCATTTGAACGTTGAATATGTTACTGTTAAGTTGAGGTCCAATAATTTACATGTTAATGGAGCTAGAATGCATCAACTGCACCTATCGCGATTTGATTTAGGAGAAAATGTTAAAATACATTTTAAAATGTTAAAATACATTTTAAATGTTAAGATACATTTTAAAATGTAAAAATAACGGATACGTTCAATGATTGAGGTGGGCAAGTGTTTTCCGAAGAATCCAGTCCTGCTCTTTAAAGTAGTAGCCATCGAGGATGGAGTCAATGATCTCGGCTAGGTACTTTATCTGAGGATTGTCTAATCGCATCGCGGCCTCATCAAGACATCAAAGTAACCCAACTTGAAAATATGACGGAGGTAATCAAGAAATTAACAATATCAAAAGTAATCCAAAGCCCAGGCACGTCTTTTCAATCTAGTCTTTGTCCAGACTCTCATGCCCTGAATGTCATCAGGTGATTGTCGATAGCACCTTCCCAAATAGCATCGAGGTCGTCAGCCATCCTCAAAACCCTTGAGCCGCAAACTGCAACAAAAACAATCAAAGCAAGTCCAAGTCAGCTTGATGTATCAAGAACGAAAGTTTGTCTGCCCAGCTGCATGCGCATCAAACCGCTCTAACACCACCTTGTTGCTGGATATGTTGTTTCACTAATGCATTTTCGTCGGAGGCCTACCCGGCCTAACCAAATTAACTTGAAAAACATGGCAAACAATTTTAATGGAGATACACGTGAACTCAGCAATGCAGGGATGGTTGGTTGACTGGTAAGCCCCGCAAGGCCCTGCAAAGTTGCAGGACCTTGCTGGGCTATGCCAACCGGACGACCTGCCAACCATGCAAGGAAAATCGCATCACATTTTTTCCGTCTCTCCAGTCCAGGCAGCACTCTCCAAAGTCAGACTCATGCCCACACTGCCGTCCTTTCATGCGTGGGATCCCTAATTTTGTAGACAGCATCTGGAAGATGGCCGGACGGTGGAGTCAGCTCCCACTGATCCTCAAAGCTAGGGACCAGCCCTGCCGCAACCAAGGCCCTCCCACTAATCCTCATGACCAGGCTGATACTAAAGCCATCGCCCAGCGTAGCACCGATCTCACTTTTCGAAAAATTTTGCAGCAAGTCATCAACCATAGGTTTGGGCCATCCTTGGAGAGCAGCGATTTCCCAAACATTCATCCAACGTTTCAGCGACATGAGGTAATGCCCGTTGTTGCCTGCCCTTGCCTTTGTCAAACAAGGTGACACATTCAACATGACCGACAAGAATCCCTTGCCAGCATGGGCATCGCAAATCAGCATTGCATTGCGCTTGGTGTACTCAGCCTCCTGGAACTTCTTCTTGGCAATCTTCCAAGCCGCTTCAATGTTTTCCCTGCGACCAGGACTCACACTTTCCTCCTGAGAAACGTTGTTCACCAAAAACCTGTCGAAAGAATGGCAAGGGAGGCAAGTCGGCCAAACGAAGGGTGCCCCCAAACGACTCTTGAGCACAGCAACCACAAAGACCCGTGGTCTGTGGTGAGGGATGGCTCCATGAGTGCAAGTGTCAAGGACCTTGGCTTTGACTGAGTAGCCTGCTGAGCGCAGCACTTCAGCCAATGCATCAAGCACGGGCCGGTTACGTTTGTTGACCAGGCCCTTCACATTCTCGAAAAATGCCACGCGTGGCGTCTGCGTCAACACGTAGTCGACACTGTGGAGCAGCACGCTTCCACGTGGGTCTGATAGACCACCACCTTTTCCTGCTGTTGAAAACGCAGGGCAAGGGGCGCCAGACATATAAATGTCGCATCTTGGCGCGGCAGCATTGTCTCTGCTAGTGATGTCGTGATAGACCACTTCCTTGGTTGAGCTCGCGTAAGCAGCAAGCGATGCAATTGACGCATCATGTGTTCGAAACAAGTTGCAACCAAGCTTCTGGAGTATCACCGAAATGTGCATGTACTTGCAGGGACATTTTCCTTCTTGTCTCGCAAATGTCCTTCATTTTTTTGACAAGTCAAGACCAAAAATGACCGCTGAAAATTTGCAAGGCACATCAAACACCAAAACTAAAACTTCAACTGATAATAAACAAGCCAAGTATCTGATATGAAAGCCGTCTGCAACTTCACCGATGCTCCAAGCGCGAACTTGAGGGCAACGAAGTCCGAACTGAGACCTGTGCAGTCTGAGCCAAGCTTGATAACCTTGCCTGAGCCGGCTCTCTGTCCAGCATTCGGTACCTTCTCCGCCCGTTCTCTCAATGACTTGATGAACTCCTGCGCAAATTTCCTGGGCGAGCAGCGGCTGTCAACTTGCATTGAATTGGCATGACTTCATATTCGACCACAAACATTCTGAATTATTCGGCACGCGCAGCCAACAAACTCAATTATCATGCAAATGGTGCAAATCCAGCACAACTAGTTAAATATTTCACAGCTTTTGATTCATTATCTTCTCCTTAAAAATGAAAATAACTTCAAGTACCATGCTTGACACCAGCTAAAAGTTTATACGTGAATCAAGTGTCTTCTGCGCCTCTGCGCTGGGCTCTTTTTTTGCTTTCTCAACTGATTTCGGCGCAGTCTTCGATGATTTCGCTGCCGGCTTCTTCAAACAATGCTTCTTGACTGGAGGTCCACTCTGTGAACTTGATGCAGGCTTCTTCAAACAAGTCTTCGCCATCTTCTCGGGTGTATCTTTCCGTCCTGCATTGCTCTTCATCCGCTCAGGTTTGGTGACTTTCCTCTTCATTGGCTCAGGTTTGTCAACCCTCTTCGCATCACACTCTGCCCAGTCAAAGTCCAAATCCATTTTGAACTAATTAAATCCTCTTGAGAGTAAAGGGCAGATCCAAATCATTGGAGGAAACTTGCATGCAGGGCAGCTCCAGGATTTCCATCAGATCTTAAAAGTCTTTAAATTGAAGTGCCTTGGCTTTCTAAATTTGTCTGCTGGTTAGTTCCGAGAACCCGCTTCCATATTTTTCCCCAGCGATCGAAACCGGTGCCTTATTGTTTGACAAAATGGCAGTCACCCGGGCTGACTGAGTCATCAAAACTCAAGCGCCGGCTCAAACAAGCCAAGGCTAAATTGGCCACTTCAACAATGATATATAATATATTTATATTTATAAATATTTATATGGATGTTATATATATATATAAATATATATAAACATAATATATAATATATATATAACATATTGCTGAAATCGCAGTTCAACTTTGAATGCAACGGCATGTTATATGTTAATACGGTGTATGGGGTAATCAGTTCAAGTCGGCCAATGGTATCCCATCATCCAAAGTTCTACTCACTTCGCCTCAGTCTCTGAAGCGGAATCCGAATCTTCGAGCAACTCTTCCTCGTCTTTCTTCTTGTTCTTGGGCTTCTTGGGTGGCTTGGGCTGAATCTTGGGATCGGATTGATTCTTGCGTTTTTTCTCCTCCTTTGCCGTCGTGGCAGAGTCTGACGCAGCAGCCCACTCAGGGCTGTAGTAAGTTGATCCTTCAGACCTCATCTGCATCTTGATGAACTCCACCAGCTGTGCCTTGAGCAAGGAGCAATGTTGGTCCGTCATTCCCAATCCCAAGTACGGCACGCGGCGAAGCAAACATGCCCGTGCAAGATCTCCACATCCCGGAGTCAGATCCAGGCAACCACGGACCTCATATGCCCCAATGGCATCTGAGTACAAGGATTCGGGGAGGTGATGGTAAAAGGCTGGTTCGAAGCTGTCGTCAGATCTTTCCTCCTCCTTGCCATCCTCAACTGCGACATCGGAGCCGCCCATCATCTTGGCCCCGTACATGTCTTTCCTTTTTTTGGCAGATTCAGAAAAACTTCAAAAAGAAGTGCTTTAAATCATAGATACCGTGGTTCAATGATCAATGAAAAAAATAGTCAAACGAAGGTGCCCCCATTTAATGACTCGGCGAAAGAAAACAGAAATTTATCACATGGTTTCCATTGCCAAAGGTCTTCTGCCCATAGGTCATTGTCCATTCATCTGCCTGGCTTCCCAACCCGATCCATCCGATGCAGTTGCCACGGTTGGTCCCGGGGTACTTGGTGTGCTTTCGCTCCGGAAGCCAAGACGCCAGGGACTCTGTGGATACAACGTGCCAGCGTTGGATTTGGTTGGTCATTCCACGATTGAGCTTTCTTTTCGATTCAACTGATTCCTGACTGACATGATCCAACAACCAGAACCTGTACAACTAAGCATAATAAAATAATAAAACAATAATAAAGCATTTGCATTTTACACACCTGTCCTGACTCAAGCAAAGGGTGACCTCAGAAACTTCCAGATAGTGAGCAAGAGCCGCACCTTTGGCGTCCTTCGTCTTGAATGGGGACAGCAATATGTCAACCACGTTGCGACCTCCATCATTCAAAAAAATGAAATCTCCATCCAACGGTTTGTCATAGTGGTCCGGGCCCACCTTTTGGTTGGGAGAGCCACCCCTTCCCTTGATCGCCCCGTGGACCAACTTCTTCAGAAGGGCTGCAGTGAGAGCAGGCGCTCTTCTGTCAGGTCTTTTCACGGCTTCTGCGAAAAGCTGTACGTCAAAGTGGATCATGATGCAGCTTTTGCCTTGAGCACCTTGGTACTTGCCAGACAGCTGGCTCTCTTCAATCACCCGAGCAACACCTGCCAAAGTTGGAGGCTCAACAACGAGGGAAACATAGATCTGCACTTGTTGCGCAGCCGTCGCAGTGTAGTGCCTAGACTTCGGACCATCAATAAAACCGGTAAAACAAAGCCAAGTTAGTTATAAATGATATGACTGATTGATATTTTTTGAATTCGATTGCCATGAGTTTGCCTCCTAATTTACTACTTATTTTCAACAACAAAAAACTAATTCCAAACCAGGGCGCTGCGCGCTCCCCCTCTGGTACTTTGAAGGTTCAGCTTGAACTGAGCCAAGGGCTATCTTCTTGCACTCGTCCGTCTCCTCCTCCACCTCCTGGTCCTTTTGCTTGCCGTCAAGAGCTCGTTCAGCTGCGATCTCATTGTCTTTCGCGGCAACTGCGGCCTTCCATCGGAGGCTGAATGTTTCAATCTCCATCAGTTCCAATGGGCTCGCACCCTTGCCTTTGCGCAGCAAAGCGATCATAGCACCATTCAAATTTGTTGTGTAGAGGATGTCCTCCACCAACTTCAAGCAAGCAATGCTGCTACATTTGAGGGTGCTCATCCATTTGTTGTCGGCCTCTCTGTTACCAGCCTTCCCGGGAGTGACGTAGACCCGGTAATCTGAAACGGTCAAAATCTTCTGCTCGATCATCTTCAAGTCAGGCACGTGAAACTGGCTGCGCGGCATCTCAACCTAGGACAGGATGGTAACACCACGACCAACTAAAAAGCCAAAACATCTACACATTTTTTTTACATCCCCTGGCCTGGAGGAAATGCTTGACTGTTTGGAGCTTGAGCTTCAACAGTTCAACCAATGATGCATTGGTGCCACTTCCCTGCAGGTAGGATTTGCTGATGGTTTCCCGATCGATCTGTCCATTAATCACCATGTCAGTGATCACTTCCATGACCCATTGCCTGATGGACACTGACATACGCAACACAATGACTTGCTAAATCGTTTATATAAAATGTGTACATGTTGAAAATTAAGTTCGACTTGTCATGGTTGAAACCTCCATCCATGATCCTGCCTGGTTGGAGTCGATTCTGACTTCTCAATGATCACTCGCATTTTCTGAAGTGAGTTCAGTGGGGAGGACAGGCCATACTTCTCTTCCAACACGTCCAAGCAAGCGTTGCACACTGGATCGCTCAGCATCTTCTCAAACACAAAAATGCAGTCCTTCACGAATCCATCCGCCATGTCTGTCCGCTTGCTTGCGATTGCCATGTCCGACTGGTGCAAGGCAAACAAGTCGCTCAAATCTTTCACTGACAAGATTTCGCCAGACTCGGCTTCCTTCTGTGCTTTCAGAGATGCAACTTCGTAAGCGAGTTGCCTTGCGGTTCGGCGACAGGCCTCATAGTTTGCAACCACTTGCTGGCGCTTTTTGAAAGCTTGCCAAAAAAGCTGGTCCGGGCCGCCATCCATGAGAATGATCATCACGGGACAAGACAAAATCATGGTGCGCCACTGATCCAAACCAGCATCGTCAACCTGACGGATCAAGCGTAAAAAACGCAAACTGACTGACGAAAAAACAAAACAAAACTTCAAATCTTTAACCACCCGCCTCGCCAGAATCGATTGCGGCAGCAAGAGTGAAGATTATGCAGTGATGCATTTCTTCTGGGGACACAGGGCGCCAATTGCCCTTCAAAGCGTGAAAGTCGGTGTCAGGGGCATCCACACCCACGCAAAAGCTGTCGGCCAAATGTGCTGGCTTGTAGCCGGGAAACGCAAATGAACCCAATTCCTGGACCCGCTTCTTGGATAGTGGCACGGTTGGCGTTGGGCTGCCAAAAGGGTCTAACCAAAAAAGGTTAATGGCACTTCTGTAAGCGCCTTCCTTCTGCAGTGCGATCTTCGCTTCCTGCTGGTTGAACACCGCCTCGTCGCAAACATTGAGACTTTGAATTGACATGGATCCTCATTGCTTGGTTACATTAAATCAACCTTTCAAAGACAATTTACCAACAGTGGAATTGACGTAGTCACCAAGCATCAATTTCTAGCCCAGCAACGGAATAATATTCAGATGACAAGTTTGAAAATGAAATTTATTGGTCAACCATCTCACCCATCAACAGTATAGATAAACTCTAACATACATCGTGTGTTTAACTGACTGAGTCGAGTGATGGCCTGCACGCCCGACGAAGCGTCAACTCCATCAGTGATGGCAAGCGGTTCGGCAACCCGGATGTCGGAGAACTTCGGGCATTTCAAAATGGTGTTGATCGCCTCCATCAGCGACTCATAGTAGCCCTGGTTCTTTTGGGCGTCAGCGGGCATGTTGAGATTGGTCAAAGCAGGCTGCCCAGGCATCCCGCCTGCAGCTGCAGGGGGGTTGCCAGCCTTTTTGGCTTGACTTCTCTGCATCTTTGCCTCTTTCATTGCCTGACTGACGCGCAAACAAAAGACTTTTCACCAAACCCGTGTTTTTTTTTTTAAAGGCGAGCATGGATCAATTTAAAACATTAAACGATGATCTATTAAATTAAGTTCCATCCCAAGCGCCTTCACCTGTACTTCCTTTGCCTGGGCTGCTTGCTGCTGCGCTTCATTTTTGGTCTTTCCTGCTCTGATAAGCTGCACAACCAAAGCTTGCTCCTCGTCGTCCACCTTTTTCTGCTCGGACTTGTTCAGCTTCCACTTGCTGTAATGCTCCGGCATGATGCCCACTGCTATCAGCAACGACAAATTGCTCTTGACCCTTGATGTGGAAAAGCGGCAATGAAATATTTGTTGAAGGCTCTGGAGTTCCAACACCAAACTGAAAACTGTGTGATGTCTTATTAATCATATCAAGTGATCTGATTTTAGTTATCTTCAATTTTTGACTTCAAGGTTCTGACATCATACTAAGTTTTCTTTAACCCAGACATGCATAATCGGTGGCAGCTGCCTCTCACTGTTTTCAACCCGACGATGTTCCAGCTTAACTCCATCGGTTTGAGACCTGGCACGAAATCAACATCAATGACAAGACAACAAAATTACACAAGCATACTGTCTAAACAACTGCAAACACATAAGGTTAATCTATTTAATGAAGTAAAACATGAACCTAGGAATGAATTCAAATTGCCTATCTCACATCATTCGTCGTTATTATGTTTAAAATCTGATTTGACAAAGCAGTTTGAACCAATAAAAGACACTTTAAAGCAAATCAGGAGTATCATAATTATCAACAGTGCAATCAAGCCCTCTGAAATTTTTCCCCGGCGTCAGTCTAGCCGTCAATGACAGTGACGCATCAACAAAAAAACAAGCCCTCGGATTTGCCGTGCGGCGAGGGGAGCCCCCCCCGTTAGGGGGGGGCCCTCGCCAGGCGAACCTGGCTTCGTCCGGCGAGGGGACCCCCCCCGTCAGACCAGTGCGGCGACAGGACCTCCTCCCGTTACGGGTCCGTAACGGGAGGAGGTCCCCTCGCCAGACGAAGCCGGGTTCGCCTGGCGAGGGCCCCCCCCTAACGGGGGGGGGTCCCCTCGCCGCACGGCAATGCCGTAAAAAAGCTGGCTTCATCCGGCGAGAGACCGCTGTATAGCGGTTGCGCTTTTGACCGCCGTATAGCGGTTGCGCTTTTTTACTTTGACCAATGATATTTTGATTCTAAGATTTAAATAATTTAATATATTAAAGATGATTAATAATTTTTAATTTAATGGCACATGGCCAAAACGACGACGACACTGAACTGATGAACTTGAAAACATTGGAGCATCCCCCCGGGCTTCAACACTGTAGTAGGCAACGGCAGGCTTGAGAATGGGCCAATGAGTCCTGGGGCAATTGGCATTTCACGCGCTTGAGAACTAGATATTTAATCATAGATTGTCGGCAAGTGAGTGACTCAGTAAAAGGTCTTTTACCCCTATGCCGGATTGCTGGTTCAGTTCTAGATATTAACCTCTGGCTCTTCTGGCCCAGGTCTGATCTTGCAAAAAGTTACAGCTCCAGGGGTCGGTCTCCACGCTTTTGGTTTGTCGTACTTCCTGATGTCCCTGATCATCCATGCGAACATGTTCTTGTACCCGTTGATCACATCGGGCATACTGTTCTTGTCAAAGCCGACCTTCTTTGTATTCTTCGCGTTCAGAAAAAATTTTTCACATGTTTCTCAGAGTTGGACGCCGGCTGCCACACACCACCACGCTTGGACCCAACTCTCAAGCATCCACTCAGCCGGATTTCCCCAAGCAAAACGTTTGCCTTGCTGCATGCCACGGCGACTATTTCTCCTTTCTTGTTGGCCGGAAGGGGGTAGGACCGCAGCTCCCAACTTTTACCTTCATTAAAAATCTTTTCGCACCATGGCTTGCGTATGAAGAGCGCGTACTGGACCATGGCAGCTAGGCCAGTTCAAGCTGGCTATTATACTTGGGAGAAGCAGCTGCCAAGTGTGTTGATTGTTTTTTTGGGCGAATTTCGGCTTAGACTCTTGGATCAAATCCGCTGAGGCTTGGTAAATAACTCCGTCCGATTAATGCATCAAGTTGCCAAACCCGGCAAGGCCCAGCTACATAGCTGGGCCCTGCATGGGCGTGGTATCTTGTGGTAAGTTGACAATTGTCCTTTAATTTAAATTTTAAGCATCGATTTGCCAAACCCGGCGGGGCCCAGCTAAGTAGCTGGGCCTTGCACGGGCCTGGTTCATTGATGGCAAGTTGATCATTGATGCATCAAGTCAGTACATCGCTTTGCCAAGCCCGGCAAGGCCCAGTTATGTAGCTGGGCCTTGCATGGGCCTGGTAAATGGATGGTAAGTTGAACATCGATGCATCAAGTTAATACATCGCTTTGCCAAGCCCGGCGAGGCCCAGCTGCGTGGCTGGGCCTCGCGTGGGCCTGGTAAAAAGATTAGATGGTAAATTTTGAATTGACCATCGATCCATCAAGTTAATACATCGATTTGCCAAGCCCAGGGGGGCCCAGCTAACCTTGCCTGGGCTTGGTTTAAATTAATTTTAGCATTGATTTACCAAGCCATTCAAATGTCAAGTTAAGGGCGGGCGGCGCTCTCTTTTTTCCCCATGACCATCCCCTTCATGGCAGTAGCGAAGGTTCACCCTCTGAACACCCCGGACGTGTGCAAGTCCATCCGAGAAATTTTATCTAGGAAGGAAACCTTGCACAAAAGACTCGGATCATGTTGACACTCAGCTTTGGTCGCCAAGACAAAACTAGCTTCTTGTCTAGTCTTCGCGAGCTTCCAGTGGCTGAACTTCACAGGCTTGTTCAGCAAAGACCTGACATTCTTCTCAAACTCAGGGTGTTGGTTCTTGAACTCGGCTGTGAAGAAACATGTTCGAGAGGTCCCACATGCTCTTTTGAATTTCACCTTGAATCCTTGCTGGCCATTGAACAGGCAGGCGTCCATGACAATCAAACCAAGTCCAGCCGCAAAAAGCCTGGCCCTTTCAGGCATGTTGGCGGCATCCTTGACGATCAATGCATCTGCATCTGTTCGTTCCTTGGTTTTTGTGATGTTGAACTTTGGCAGTGCTACGTCCAACTTGTCTTCTTGAATGTCTGAAGCTACCCAAGCAGTCTTGCCGCTCAGATGCTCCCACTCCAAGGGGCCATGCATCTTGTCAGCAAAAGATCGTTGCACCTTGCCCTCACGCACCAGCAATTTGTCTCGCTCCTTTTCTTTGGCAAGCGTTGTTTCAACCGCTTCCTGATCCACCTCAGCCTCCTGGAGTAAACCCTCTTGGTAGGCTGTGACCATGTGCTCTCTTTGTTTCTTTTTCTGGAATTCGAACTCCTTCTCGTGGGCCTCAGCCCAAAGTTCATGGCTGGGATCTTCATCCAAATTGAAGGAAAGGCTTTGATCCCAATCTTTCTCCACTGCATTGGCCACACTGTCCCTCCTTGCTCTTTTGAACGCTGCCTCTGAGCTTGATGGGTCCTCATTCGTCTTGGGGCGCTTGATGTCTTTGTCGATGCGTTCGCTCTTTCGTTTGCGACATGCGCCTGACAGGGCTGAAGTGAATTTGCATGAGTCTAATTTCATTATGGCCATCCCCACACTAATCAACAAACTTAGTTTCCCGCAGTTTCCCCAACTTATGCGCCTGGCATACATTTCATGTACAACTGCTGCGAGTCTCGTAGAATCACTTCGAGCTCTGCAGGAGTGAAGTCACAAAGCATCAGTTTCATTGCCCGCTCTTCAAACACATCACTTGCAGGCGTCTGTCCAAATGCATTCTTGCGCTCACCTCTAGCGAAGTTCTGCTCCACGCCACTTGTGCTCGCCTGCCATGCAAGATAGCGACGCATCACTGGAGCAATGTCAGCTGTTGGGTAGGACTCCTGGCAAGTCAAAATGATAAGTAGGAAACTCCAGCGTACAAAAAATCAACGTTGAATCGAGTGGCTGAGCAGTCCTGCATAGAATTTCGCCGCTGAGTAGCTTTCATGGTCGCTGTCCAAGCCTCTCGGGTTCCACCATTGGTGTCTCTGCATCGCTTTTCTGCCAGGGGGCGAAGGCGGTGTAGCTGCTCCTGGAAGCCGCCCGAGCTCACCCCAAAGAACTTAGCCAAACGCTCTACACTGCTGTCGGCCGAGCTCTGGAAGAAGGTGTCTGTTTTGGACACTCTTTTCAAAGAAAACACCTCAGAAACTGCCAGCAAACACCGAAACATGTAGAGAAGCAAACGCCGAAAATTAACAGGGATCGATGGGCAATAAACAGAGTGTTCATTATTAATTAAAATAAGTAGTCATTGATCCATTTTCTCGCAAAGGCGCTCCAAAAGCAGAGAAAATTCCATAATGCGGAAATTCTGTACGAAGAACTTCCAAAGCCATCCGAACCCATACCTCCATGTTCTTGAAGCATTGGTCGATTGACTCATCCTGACAGGGCCCCAAGCGGCAGGCAACACCACAAGCGAAAAACTTCAGCTTCCCCTCCGCGAGCAAGTCCATCACAAGCTTCGTGTATCCCATTGTCGTCAGTATAGCCTTCTGCACAATCAGCATCTGAATCCGATCAGCAAAACTCTGCACGTAGTTTCCAACTTCAGCGCTGTCGCATTCCTCGTTGTCAACCTGCCTGATGAGCAGCAGGCTTTCATCCATGACGTCAGCCACCATACCAAGCTGCAGCAATTCTTGGGCTGCTAGATTCTGCAGCCAAGTTTGCAGCGCTGAGCCTGTTTGATCCTTCCTGGCCTGGATGATCCGTTGCACGGTGGCTAGCACAGCAGGGAGGTTGCTCAAGAGTCGGCAAAGCGGAGCGGTGTGGGACTCGAAGCGGTGTTTGGCCTTGGATTGTCAATATGTTGAATCTCACTTTGCACGTCAGCTCCAAAATTAAAAACACAATGGTACTAACTGATCATTCCCATAACGCAGTTGAAGCCGAGATGATGAACAAGTTTTAGTACCGGACCAAAAATGCATCCACGTGGCTGATTTCAAGTTGTGGCAGTGGACATTCCCGTTCACCAGCTTGGCCACCTCATCATCAAACCATTGCCTGAAGATGAACGAACCATCTATGATTCTCACTGGCGAATTTGCGCCCAAGACATGTTCTGCCATCAGCGCAGACAAATGGTCGGTGGCTTTGAAAGGCCTTTGAATCACGCGGCGAAATGCATGCGCGTGATCTCTTGCAACCAGCTTCAGGCATGGAAGAAGGATCTGTGCACCTGGTCCTTCGATGTTTGGGTCTCTTGCTCCCCTTGTCACATTGCTGGCCAGCAACTCGTTAGCTGCCGCGTCTGTCAAAACGATTTCAACCCGTTTCCTCACTTTATCAAAAAGACCTTCGTTGAACTCAGGCTTTGGACCAGCATAGTACCTGGGAGGATCATTGTACTTGGTGCAGAAGCGTTGCAAAACTTCCCTTGTTGCGCGTGCCTTGGTGCATTTGAATCCAAGCCCAAAAGAAAATTCATATATATTTAGAAACAAATCGTCATACAAGAAATTTTCATTGCAGTAATTAAGACGGGCGGCGATGTCACCTCCGGTGTCTCCAAACCCCCGAACCATTCCCAAAATGCCGAAGCGGGTGTCGTATTTTTCCTTGCAGACGCATCTCAAAAAATGACATCACATTGACGCTCGAACATGGCTTCTCCTATATTATCATTATCATAGTTTATCAGATTCATATAAGTCAATCACCGACAAACTAAGATAGCCCAAGCGTCAGTGCAGCCGCCAAAACGACAAAGCAATCGCTGTCGACGGCCATCCCTGGTCAGGCTGATGGACGCGCACTTTTCCAAAAAAATGCGGTCCTGCTCTGCCACAACCTCGTGGAGGCACCATGCCATCAGCGAAGCCTTGTCTGAGCTTTGGCCTTTGAAGTCCCCGCAACCTGCTGACAGGTGCAAATCCAAGGCAGAAACATTATTAAGGAGGCCAAAAAAAAACAAAATCCAGGGGTAAACTAACCAAAGTCTGATTTAATTGGTTTTGAAGCGCTTCTCATCGAAGAGCCAGATTGCAGCTTCTTCAGGAGGCTCTCAAATTCTTCCAGTGGTGGGGCGCCGGGAACATCGACCCCAATTCCAAGCATCATCTTGACCGCATCAATATGACTCTTGCACTCTTGGTGCTTTTGCAAGAAGCAAGCCCGGAATTTGGGCACCAGACCAGCAGTAGCTAAGCCCCACTCACTTCCAGTGTTAGCTTTGCTGCAGGGAAGGCACCCGCAACCAGATTTGGCACCAAAGACCCAAGGCTGATTTGCAAGTTGTTGGGCTGCTGCAGTCTGGGGCTTGACGCCTTTGGGCAAACAGTTGCCAATCAGAAACTTCTTTTGCCACCCTTTCCCAAGTCTTTGCCACCTCTTGACAAACATCTGGCGCATCTCCTTGGCATCAATGTCAATGTCGGGCGGTTCCAACTTGGTCTGCTTCGTCGGGGTTTCCACTGCCGAGCCCCCGTCTAAGCTGCTGCAGGCTGAAAAGGACAAATCAGTGTCAGGTTCCATCATGGCTGCCGCTGACGAAAAATAATAACCACTAGTCGTCGTACGGTGTGAGTTTACAAAAATTGTTTTATCCAATGTTACCCTCTTAACATGCGCACCAAGTTGACCAAAGCTTTGGTTGAAGTTACCCTCACATTAAAATATGATTGACCGCATGTGTCCATTGCCAACTCTGACCGAGATTGAAATTGCTGCAGGGCGCATGTGACTTCACGCAGGGCTACACCGTGTCCCAAACCTGTCTCCCCAACCGATCAGTGTCCTTGATCGCATTGACGATTCACTGTCCATCGTCAGCCTCGAGCCAATGATGAAAAGTAATCACAAATTAAAAGGATGAAACTTGATTCAATACTGACGACAAGACGATGACAACATTAACGACAAAACTGTCTGGATGCAACGCAAGCAACCCCTTCAAATCGCCGCGCACGCTTCTGCCTTGCAGGCCAATCCAATCTCATGACACAACATTACGGAAAATCAATCAAGTCAACTCACAAGCCAACGAAACTTCATCTTAAACATGTTTTTAATTTAGCTCCAGCCACCTGTCATCTTTTCCAACGGTGCGGCGGGTAGCCAACTTCTGCAGCTCCAAATTGAGGTCCCTCAGCTGCGAACGGTATGATGAAGAAAGGACATTTGCATCCACAAAGTCCAAAATAAGAAACTGCAAATGAGACGAGACACTCTCCGTCGTCATTGTCATGGTCCAAGTTTGCCTCCTCACTGCCATCGTCCTCCGCCTTCTCTTGCTTCACTGTCACCTTGCCTCTCTCCGCCTTTTTCTTAGCCTTTGCCTTTCTGCGGCGGTTCTTCCTCTCCTGGTTGGCCATGGCATTGAGCTGAGGGTCAGCATTACCCTTTCTCCGGGCTCTTTCAATCGCTGCTCCAGTCTTCGGCTGAACCCAATCTCCGCAGAGCTCTGAAAGTTCTCCTCAGAGCTCAAAGATGACTTGATAATTCCATCAAGCTGCAAATTGAATCCCTCAAAAACCCGACGAAAACAAAAACACGCAAACAGAACAAAATCAAAGCAAAACAAAACAAGGAAAACCGAAAAACAGAGCTCAAAAAAACGCAAACAGAACAAAAACAAAACAAAACAAATCTGAAGCTTGACAAGGCACCGACCACAGTCAAGGCACGGACGTGGCTGGGGGTCGACATCAGCTGGTAGAATGCCGTCTGCAGTGACCCATTGAATGCCGGCCAGTTAACGCGAGGAATTGTGACATCCTCCGTCGGCAGGTCCTCGTACAACAGCTCGCCACACATCATCTCATACCTCGGAATGCGTAACATGTCACAGAAAAAAAACCGCCCACAGCAAAACTCCTTCCAAAATTGACCAGCAAACACCTTCATAATTATCTTCAGATTAGTTGCAACACGCATCCCAAGCCCCAAAGATCGGCTCTGATTGTCATGGGGACAACCGAATTCCAGATATCATAGGGCAGGTAATTGGGTGTTCCTGCCACAGTCACATTCGGCCCCATCTCCACTGTCAAACCGAAGTCCCCAATCTTTGCAATGCTGCCGCTCACAAAGATATTACCGGGTTTTATGTCCCGGTGTATCAGCCGCCTGCTGTGCAAGTGCATCAGGCCGGACGTGATGTGCTTCAGGAATTTCCCCGACATCTCCGGCGGCAAGTGACCCAAGCGGTGCTTCTTGATCTCTGTATGGAGATCGCCATCCAAAAGCTCCATCTCGATGTACCTGATGCCTTGGCTGAAGGTAGTTATTTTAACATTGACAATGTAACACATAAGTGCCAAAAAACAACATGCACCAAAATGAAAAATAAACGTCCACTGAACAATGACAATAATAGCGCACTCAAACCGAAAAAAAGCCACTGCAGCCTCCCTTTGTGAAGTCTCCACACCCATAAATCGGCACTAGGTGGGGGTGGCGCAGGGTCAGCATGATCTTTCCTTCCCGCGGTGGCTTTGGAAAAAGCCAAACCTGAATCATGATAAAAACGCATGAGTTACCATTATTTGGCTCATTGACAGAGACGAATAAAATTAACAACGAGAAATAATAAATGTTTCGCCGCCATGGCGGGCCATGGCCTCCTTCAGAAAGACATCGCCTTCTCCGCTGGCCATTGGCAATGCCAGCTTCAAAGCTCTTGCCGACCGGTCACGCACTGTGACTTTGAAGGCCGCGCCCATGCCACCGCGTGCCAGCAGTTTGGCCGTTTTGTAGCGGCCAAACTTCAGGACACGCGCCACCCACCTTCTCTCCTCCTCCCTCTCTTCCTCAGAATCATCTTCCATGGCTTCGGCTTAAGCCACCGACGCGATGCCGACCGAAAGTTCAAAGTAAAATTTGAATTGGGTTCGGTGTCTTAGAATGTGATAGGTTTGAATTTCGAATTTGTCTAAGTGTTCCAACTTGCTGTGATTGGCGTCGGTAAGACAACGCAGGCAAATTAAATCTTGCAAGGTGTCATTAATACAGATGTGGCCTACTGTTACTGGCTGTGATTGTTGTGGGTAAGGGTATCATTGCTGTATAAAGCGGAACGCTGTTATAATAGATTTAAATTAGATATAATCATTTAATTATCAAATTTGGAATTTCATCAACCCAAAAGCTGACTTAAAATTTGGCTTATCTTAATTAAATGCTCCCCCCCCGGGCCTCAATCCAGATTGAATCTGCAGCGGCAGGGCATTGATTGAATTGGTCCTGGGGCAATTTTAATTTTGGCTTGATATGACAAACTCAGTGTAACCATATGCCGGATTGTAAATAAAGGGCACTTGACAAACTCAGTATTAAAAGTGTTTTTTCTCCCGGTATTACAGCAAGCTTCTAAGCCTAGACATTATTCTCATGGCCCAGATTTAATTTTGTAAACTCCAGATTGCTGGTTCAGCAAGCTGCTAGAATTGAACATTATTATGGCCCAGCTTTAATTTTGCAAGCTCCAGACTGCTGGTTCAGCAAGCTTCTAGATTTGAATATTATTATGGCCCAGATTTAATTTGCAAGCTCCAGACTGCTGGTTCAGCAAGCTTCTAGATTTGAAGATTATTATGGCCCATATTTAATTTAATTTTGCAAGCTCCATGGCCATGAAACAAAACAAAACGTCGCTGTCAATCTGCGCCTTGTAAGTCATAGAAGTTAGTCTCTCAAGCCCGACAAGGCCCGGCAAGAATCTTGCCGGACCTTGTCGGGCTTAATCGCCACAGTCAGCTCAAGCCCGGCAAGGCCCAGCAAGAATCTTGCCGGACCTCATCGGGCTTAAGTTCGCCAATCTCTGCAGTCAGCTCACCGGCAAGGCCCAGCAAGAATCTTGCCGGACCTCGTCGGGCTTAAGTTCGCCAATCTATGCAGTCAGCTCAAGCCCGACAAGGCCCAGCAAGAATCTTGCCGGACCTCGTCGGGCTTAAGTTCGCCAATCTCTGCAGTCAGCTCAAGCCCGACAAGGCCCAGCAAGAATCTTGCCGGACCTCGTCGGGCTTAAGTTCGCGAATAATAAAATAATAGCTCCGAATCAGCTCAAGCCCGACCAGGCCCGACAAGAATCTTGCCGGACCTCGTCGGGCCTTAAGTTCGCCAATAATTTTCCACAGTCAGCTCAATCCCAATAAGGCCCAGCATACAATCTTGCTGGGCCTCATCGGGTTTGAACTTGAAATCACTGCATGGCCCAGACAAGGCCCGGCGTGACAGCCACCAGAACGGGCCTTGTCGGGCCTTGCTTTAACAGCGGGCCGCTGAACATGTTGCAGAGGAGCGCGTTCTGAATTATTGCAATTCAAGATCCACCAGCAAGATTTGCCGCCAAGATCTGCCAGAATAAAAAAAATCAGAACAATTGATGCTATTTCGAAATTCGGGGTAAATCAGTTTGGCATGATAAATCATTGAACTTAGTCATCAGCCTTTAAATGCTAACCTCTCCAAAACCTGTGCGCGGACATGCCGTAATAATCCACATTTCACTTCAATGCCCAGCAAGGCCCGGTCAGAAGCTGACCGGGCCTGGCTTGGGCTTTGAAGCGAAATGCGCTTCAGTGATTTAAGTGGAATGTGGCTTGACGAAGTCAAACTGACAGCAACTCAACGCACAACGGCCCTTTTTAACCCCACTCCCAATCAAAGTGTCGTACGCGGTCGAGATCCTGGGCCAGTCTGTGCTGGGTCATAGGTCTTCTCACTTTTTCTTCGGCGGGGGCACCTTCGTCTTGCCCTGGGACCGCTGGGAGGGCTTCTTGCGCGCGGCATTATAGTCCTTCTTCTTGTGATTGTCCTTGGGGTCCTTCTTGTCAAAATTGTCCTTGGGGTCCTTGCGCTTCTTGCTGTCCTTGGGGCCCTCAGCCTCGGCTGCCAGCACCTGGTCGCCGCCGATGCTGTCATTCATCTGGGGCCTCGCCTTCCTCCACACCTCGGTCACTGTTTTCTCATCAAAGCAGATCTCGATCTTGTGCAGCTCCCAGCTTTGGTTCTTCCAATTGTTAGCGGCTCCCATCCAGGTCTTCTTCCACACCGGCCCTGTCCATTCTGCAAAGCAATCAGCACTTGGAAAGGGGCCCTGCACCACTGGCATGGCTCAGGATGCTCAGGATGGTTCTTGAAAAGACCAAAAATGCTCCCGCGGAACTAAAACATGCCAAACAAAAACCGTGACAAACATGGCCCTCCCCAAAAAACAAACACAGCACAAACATGACATGAACTGAACATGACAAGTGCCATGACATGACATGACATGACATGACAAGCAAACCGTGACAGGCATGGCAAAAATTACATTTATATTATATAACTTATATTAACCGCTTCAACGCATGAATCTATAAAATAAATGCAATTGCATGGATGACACCTAAGCTTAGCTTACAAAATTAACCCGCACAAAGTTAATCAGTTGTCAACAAACTGCGACCAAAAACTTAAAAGATTCCCTTGATTGAATTGTATTTGTATGAAATTGATATCCTGGTCCTATGTCATATGAGAAACAGTTGCATTTTATACAGGGAATGCTGTTTTCAATCCATTCTTTTAAGACGCGCAAAGTATTGATATGATTCAAAGCATCAAAGATTTGGGCAAGACCATTTTATAATCATGGTTTTTGAAAGCTTTTGAAGCAGCCAATGGAATATTCATTTTTGCACGCGTTTTCCGTATAATAAGCCGCCCTCGGTTCTGTATAAAATGAGTTAGCCGCACCATCGGGGGTAGTAATCAAGGGGTATTAATAATTATTATTTTTCGCCAAAAACTCTCACACTGAAGCTTTGAGTTGGGGGCATGCCCGCCGCTGGCCACTGCAAATCAACAAAAACGTTTTAAAGAACACCCGCCGGCCAGGTGAACACCCACCGTTCACCAGAGCATCTTTAAAATGAATGAGTTTGGTGAAAGCCACCGCCGGCCACCCAGAGCCAAGCACAAGGTTCAACCAAAGCATCAATTGACTAACAACCTCATTTGGGCTCCTATTTTTTTCAATGCATTTGTACTCAGCAGACTGAGTCACAGGCTCAGTATGACTTTGATTCATTGACAGGAGACGGGACTTGCCCATTGCTGGCCCCTGGCTTCGGAATGAATTTGCCCTTTGCCCGACCATGTCCATGGGCTGTCAAAATCTGACAGAGCAACCAGAGCAACCGCTATACAGCAGCAAGGCAAGAGGCAGCCTTGAACCTCCTTAAAAGGACACTGCCACGGCCTCAGGGACTTGTTGGAGCTGCAGGAAAGGTCTGCCGCGGCCTGAGTGGCGCCTGGGAGCTGCAAGGGGAGGGTTTGGGGAGTTTTGAGGGCTGGCAAACGGCAGCCTTGAACGTCCATAAAAAGACGCTGCCACGGCCTCAGGGACTTGTTAGAGCTGCAGGAAAGGTCTGCCGCGGCCTGAGTGGCGCCTGGGAGCTGCAGGGGAGGGTTTTTGGGAGTTAGGCGAATTTCGAAGGCTGGCAAGAGGCAGCCTTGAACCTCCATAAAAGGACACTGCCACGGCCTCAGGGACTTGTTGGAGCTGCAGGAAAGGTCCGCCGCGGCCTGAGTGGCGCCTGGGAGCTGCAGGGGAGGGTTTGAGAGTTTTGGCGAGTTTTGAAGGCTGGCGAACGGGAGCCTTGAACCTCCTTAAAAGGACACTGCCACGGCTTCAGGGACTTGTTGGAGCTGCAGGAAAGGTCTGCCGCGGCCTGAGTGGCGCCTGGGAGCTGCAGGGGAGGGTTTGGGGAGTTTTGGCGAGTTTTGAAGGCTGGCAAACCAGCCTTGAACCTCCTTAAAAGGACACTGCCACTCAGGGACTTGTTGGAGCTGCAGGAAAGGTCTGCCGCGGCCTGAGTGGCGCCTGGGAGCTGCACGGGAGGGTTTGGGGAGTTTTGAGGGCTGGCAAACGGCAGCCTTGAACGTCCATAAAAAGACGCTGCCACGGCCTCAGGAACTTGTTGGAGCTGCAGGAAAGGTCTGCCGCGGCCTGAGTGGCGCCTCCAGTTTTGAAGGCTGGCAAACGGCAGCCTTGAACTTCCTTAAAAGGACACTGCCACGGCCTCAGGGACTTGTTGGAGCTGCAGGAAAGGTCTGCCGCGGCCTGAGTGGCGCCTGGGAGCTGCAGGGGAGGGTTTGGGGAGTTTTGAGGGCTGGCAAACGGCAGCCTTGAACGTCCATAAAAAGACGCTGCCACGGCCTCAGGGACTTGTTAGAGCTGCAGGAAAGGTGTGCCGCGGCCTGAGTGGCGCCTGGGAGCTGCAGGGAAGGGTTTGGGGAGTTTTGAGGGCTGGCAAACGGCAGCCTTGAACGTCCATAAAAAGACGCTGCCACGGCCTCAGGGACTTGTTAGAGCTGCAGGAAAGGTCTGCCGCGGCCTGAGTGGCGCCTGGGAGCTGCAGGGGAGGGTTTCTCGAGTTAGGCGAGTTTCGAAGGCTGGCAAGAGGCAGCCTTGAACGTCCATAAAAAGACGCTGCCACGGCTTCAGGCACTTGTGAGAGCTGCAGGAAAAGGTCCGCCGCGGCCTGAGTGGCGCCTGGGAGCTGCAGAGGAGGGTTTGGGTAGTTTTGGCGAGTTTAGAAGGCTGGCAAACGGCAGCCTTGAACCTCTTTACTGCCACGGCCTCAGGGACTTGTTGGAACTGCACAGGGTCTGCCGCGGCCTGTTGCGTTTTGGAACGTAGAAACAGAGATTGCTGTGGCATGAGTGGCTCGTGGGAAGTGCACAGAAATTGCTGTGGCCTGAGTGGCTCCTGGGCGGTGAACAGAGGGTGCTATGGCCTGGGTGGCTCGTGGAAAGTGCAAAGCATTGGGAACGAAAAAAAGTTCCACACCTGCGGTGGTCCCAGGCGCCGCCCCTGCCTTGGCTAAGGCAGGGGTCGGCGGATATCCATGACTATGGTTTATGGTACTTATAACTATAGTTACTGGGGCTTATAAATCAAATTATAACTGGGGGCCCTCACATTGTAGTTGATTTAAATACCACTATCATTGGTTTAGATACCATGGATTCCAATCATAGTTGATGTCAATAGCTTTTTGTTGTTGGGTTAATACCAATCTAGAGTTATCCTCTAGAGTAAACAACAATTTCTAACTGTAAATAAAAGTTGGGTTACAAAAAGCTATTGAAATCAACCTATACAACAAATCAACAATAGGTTATGATTTCTAGAGTAAAGTGAAAATGGCCATGGAAATAGTTGATTTACCCATGAAACATGGTGATTGTCCATAGTTTTTTGTATGTTTACCAGAGGTTATATAGATAGGATCTTAATGGGAATTAATGGAATCTTATTGGGATGTTTAAGATGATTTTAATTGGATGATTGGATATAGGTTACTGTAAACCTAGAAGACGTGGAAAACCAGCTGGTTTCCCTTTGAAATAAGCTACAACATGGTGGCTGTTCCGTATCTATAATGGGAAAAGGTTGTGTCTGAAAATTGGGTACACCTGACAATTGGCACTTTAATGGGGAAAATAGGGTACTCAGAATATAACAAACTAATCATGGATACATAACGAGTATCCCATGAAACATAAACTCAGAATACTTCTCCATTGTTAAGGGGATACACCATTAATGGGTACTTTAATGTTTCAGACGAACTTATAGCCCACAATTGTGGACTTAGAGGGGAATACATGGGATTTAGCCAACATGTTGCAATGTTGTGTTTTTGTTTTGGTTAGCTAAGTTGGTTTGTTTCATTCGGCTAGCAGGTGGATTTTAGGTTGAACAAGATCGGTTGAACCGAAACCAACAGGGGGAGCCACCTACTATCCATGGGCTTTGGTATCTATATATAGGCCTCCAACATGGCCCGCTTTTTGACGGTTTCGGGAAAGGTGAGGATCTTAATTGCTGGTTGGTGGTTTCAAACACGTGTTATTTTCCATTTCATATATGGGACAATCCTTCGCATTGACTTTCACTCCATCATTTTTCAAGATGCTTATGGCACCACCAACCAGAATACTTTGGAATTGATTGAACACATGTTACATAGCCTAGTTGGTTTGATAAAATTGGACTATGTTGAATGCCAAGTGGGCCACTTAGCCACTTCCAAGTGCCACTTGGGTCAACCATTGAAGTATCCTATTGACCAACATGAATGTGCCATCTTATGTCGTCGGAGTACATTCCCATCTTGGGATGGTCGATTCATGAGTGGATTTGCAGTCGATTACTCCAGTTGGTGTGTTGTGATCAATTTACCATCTGGTTATTTAACATAGCCATGGAAAATCACCACTTTTAATAGGTAATAATAGGTAAACCATCTATTTCTATGGGCCATGGCTTCTATGGCGAACTGTTAGTCATAACCAGATGGTAACTTCCAGTTGATGACTTATATGACGACCGAAAAACCACCAAAAAATGGACGTGATGTCTCGGTGAAAATAAATGCTGACAGGTCTATGAAAGAAATGGGTATGTCTGAAAATGGGGTATACCCCCAATGAAATAGCCATTTAGTAGGGATAATGATCAGCAAAACCATTGGGTGTAGGGGTACACTATTTTCAGACAAACCCAAATATATGCTCGTGAAATAAAGGAACTTACCGTAATCATTTGAGGCTAACAATCACTATTGAAGTTCACCTACTTAAGTATATTCTGAAATTCCAACTATGTGGTTTTATACCGTTTCATTTGCAGATCATAATTCAAATACCAAGCCAGTTTTGTTGATTGAATACCAATTTTGGTTGGTGATATCTCGAATTTTGGCTATGATTCCTCTTAACTCTTAGCTATCATGAAACGATCATGAGTTCCTCATATTTTGTTGCTTACTCTATGGGATATGATCTTTGCCATCAAGAGTCACCATTCCTAATATTAGTAGATCATCTTTAAATGGACCTGTTTCCCTAGCACACTGTTAAATTGCCTGATGGCAACATAGCAATGGACAATTCCCATTAGATCGAATTCTTTCCCAGCTATAAATGCCTATTAGCCTATGAGTATTTCAGCGATGTCTGAGCTAAATCGCCACGTTTGATGACACTGCAGGGTACAAGGTGAGGCCGCCTGGATCGCCAAGTTCGCTTCTAACTTGGTTAAGTAGGGTTTCTGGGGAATGTAACATTATATAGTTAATGACTGTTGCTGGGTTTACAACTAACATAACTGGGGGTCCTCACCTTATACATGGCATCCCCGACCCAACCGTGCCCGTGCGGCCGCGCAATAGGTCTTTCTCGGCAAGTCCTGTCACGCTTAAAGTTGCAACTCCAGCGCTCGGCGTCCTTCTCAACACCGCAGCATGCGATGCTTGGTGCTTGATGATGGGAGCGGTGAAGATCCCGATCTTCGGGGCAGTGTTTAAAATAATCAAGTGTTTTAACTTGATTTAATTAAGCGATTACAACATCATTTATTTAAGGTTATGTTTAGTGACTTGTAGGGATCTTAACACTACGTAACCGTCATTTATTGTGATTTTCAGTGATGTTAAGCATCACACATATGGGGATATAAGTTGATTAATGACGCTTGGTTGATGATTGTTATCAGTTTGTGAGGATAAAGTGGGAATACTACCCTTTATATTGGGTATGATCAGAATCTCCTGCAACCAGTAAAATAATTTGCAATCCCTATAATTAATAAATGTGCCTGAAGTCTGGACCCCTGGGGCCGTTCCCCGTGATGTTTCTTGGTTTACAAAAGACTTTACCCTCTGGTAATTTAAACGTTTGCTATTGAAATGGCCGTTTATAGTTGGTTTATCTAGAAAAATGATGATTTTCAATAGCTATGTTGGTTACCACAGGGATAAACTAAAGCAACTCGGCTAACAAAGCATGCACCACCTTGTATAATTAATCCAGATGTTGACCATGGATTTCTGCTAGCACGCATGGATATGTAGATCAACAGAGATAATTGATACATGACAATGGCAGGGAATTTGTTTGGCCTTGCAGTGCAAGCTACTGCTGGTTGAACCGAGGTGATGTCAAATCACCCCCTTTGGGTTTGACTTATTGACTCCAGTAGTATTTTGGTGGGCGTAGGCAAAAAAAACAACAGAAGGAAAGGCACGTGAATAGGATATCTGTGCCCGACCATGATTGTTTGCTTCTAGGCGGGGGGCTTTTACCTACCTCCCCGCATCCCTCCGCATTTCAACTTTTTTTCTTATATAGGCTAGGTATTTTATTTTTTTGGGGGAGCAGAACTCTTGTGCTTGCATCGCCCAGCTGTTGTTGGCAACATTGAAAGTGGCGCGGGGGGGGGAAAAACAGCTTCGCGGACCAAGTTTTGGGTCCGTAATTTTGTTGAAAAATCGGTGCGGGTTGGTCTGTCACAAACCATGGCTTCGTCTTAACATGGTGGTATCTATACCGGTATTATCAGCTTACATGCCGGCACGCCCCCCCTTGAACAAGCGGTTCAGCGCAATTTTTCAGTATCAGACCAGTTCGTGGAACACAAACAACGATAAAAATCACCGATTCTGCTCCGGAGAACTCGCCTGCTCAAGAACGCAAAAATTAGAGAATCCTTAATTTTTTCGATCCAATCAGTCCTTGGGCAGCTCTGTGCCAGATTCTCCGCGGGGATAACTATTCCCTATCGAATATTAGGATTTGGAGGATTGAAGAAACGCCAATTAAGCAGAGAATCTGGGGAACCGCGACCCTCAAATGCCAATACAGCAGGGTATTGCACGGAAAAACATATGAAAAAAACACATAAAAAACTATGAATTATTGCGCCGTCCTTGTTGTTTTCCATCTTATTCCATCTTATATGTTTTCCCACCTGCCAGCTGGGAGTCTGTACATTTTATCAGAATTACTTCCTCCTTCCGTCCTTCCTTCCTTCCTTTCTTCCATCCTTCCTTCCTTCCTTCCTTCCTTGCCTTCCTTCCTTCCTACCCCAAAAGCGATCTCAAGATCTCAGCGGGCACTGCCGGGCCTCAACCGCGAGCGCCAGATCGCAGTGGGCACTGCCAGACCTCAACCGCGAACTGAGCACTGCCGGACCTCAACTACGAGCTCCAGATGTCAGCGGGCACTGCCAGACCTTAACTGCGAGATCTCAGTGGGCACTGCCGGGCCTCAACCGCGAGCGCAAGATTGCAGTGGGCACTGCCGGACCTAGAACCGCAAGATCTCAGTGGGCACTGCCGGGCCCCAACCGCGAGCGCCAGATCGCAGTGGGCACTGCCGGACCTCAATCATGAGCGCCAGATCTCATCAGGCACTGCCGGACCTCAACGGCGAGAGACTTGTTTTGCATGTTTGTCTTCAGCGGGGTGCGTTTGAGTCAGCAACCGATGACAGGTGGAATGAAATCAACTGAAGAGGTATTCAGCGTTATCTCACAAAACACTTCGCTTCAGACAAAACAATGGCGCGAGTCTTGCAATGGAACTTGTGGCTGATTGCGACACAGGCTTCTGCACTGTTTCTTTTGCGAAATTGCGGACTTGTATGATCATGGACAGAATATTACATGCAGTTGCATTGATGCGGAATTGGGAGCCACATAGTGGGGATTTATTTACTCGTGTGGATCACTCGAAGTAAAGTATTTTTTCATAGTGGAAAGCATGATGTTCAGTCGGAATTGGGAGCCACATATTGTCGTTGTCACTCGCATAGCAGCGCTGGGAAGAAAAAACATGCACCCAATGGAGATATGACTTGCTGGACAAGTTCCCTCGAAAAGGATGCGTTTGACCAACAACAGGCGATTTTCACATGTCTTCACGCCAGGAAAAGGACGGTAACCTCGCAAATTCACTAAGCATGCAGTTACTAGTTAGAAATTTGTCTGTGTATAACAAAAGAACTGGACTAGCCTAGCCCCTCAAAGTGATCATTTTGGGATTGTGGGTAGGTGTGTAATGAGCATTTCAATCCATCTATACGGGGTGCCTATTTAACCTTCATGAGATGCAAATGGGCACACCTGCTCAAGTTCGTAAATGGTTTTTGTGACTGGTTGGTAATTCCACCAATGACTTTTTTTTTGCACTATGCCCCGTTTACCTCCATAGAATACATTTCATATAATTACTCTCAATCATAGCCCAGTCACACTCCGAAGTTTCAGTCACGATTTTTATCCCGGATTTTGAAAAGCCAGGCTACTACTTGGGGTGCAGTTATTGTAAGTTGATATATACCTATACATAGCCATAGTTATCGTTTGTGTATATATATATAAATATGTATATATTTAAATAAGATGATACATTTATATATTTATATATATATATTTATATATATATATATTTATTTACATATGCTTAGATCTTAGCCTATGAGGGGTCACTACAATGTGGGTTCCTCCCAGTTGGTTTATGCATCCTTTGAATATGAGATATAGTGAAAAAAATCATAACATAGCATAGACATTCATAGACCATATTTATAATCGTAAACCATAGTCATAGTCTTTGGACACATGTTCATCAACTGAGCTATCATAAATCAGCTGTCATTCCCATGAAACCCACATTTTCATTGGCAAAAAAACACAATTTTCCCAGTGGTTTTTGCTCATCAACGGGTGCCGCGCTACGACATGCCGCATCCCAGGATCTACCTCATCGGCGACGTGCAGTCGCCCGAACCGGGCTGCTGCTGCCGAGTGATCCAAACAATGCTCCAAGCGGCCCTGCAGGATCCGGGGACTTCAAGGGGATGGGGATTGATGGGGATTGGGGCAATATACTGGTATAATGGGAATAGATGGGAATAGATGGGAATAGATGGGAATAGCTCATACAGGCAGATGTTGAAGACGGTACCGGTGGTATAAAACAGAGTTGTTCACTTGTAAAACACATTCAGGTGAAGGCGGTACCTTTAGCGTTTAGTATGCGTTTCACAGACATTGGATTTTACATGCGAATGAATGGAAAATAATGCAAGTACAGTAGGTGGTGAAAGGTATGCCAATTCAATTCCCGAAAGGTCTGCCTAGCCGGGGAGAAAGAATCAGTAGCTGAAATATTCTCATGTTTTAGCTGCTCATTGTTTTCACCACGAGTGCCAGCTCAAGTGGTTTGGGGAGGTCTGAAGCATCAATAAAAGCCAGCGTTCCATGGGAACGGTGAATGATCAACCAAGTATGTTTAGTGGTTTGGGTACCGCGTTCCATTGGAAAGATGCTTCTGGAAGTGAGTGTTTTCACGTCTACCAACCGTAAGCGTTAAAGCGTTTCCATTGGGTTTCATAGTCCAGGTCCTGCCTTTTCTCACTTAGCCGTGACCACGGCGTTCCATGCAGAAACACATATTCTAGCACCACTGGTCCTGCCTTCAACGTCCACCTGCCTGGGATATAATGGAGAATCTGGGTAAATTTCATGAGGGCCTCACTGTCCCTCACTGGAATTGAAACTATTACACTCATAAATCCGATACTATATTGGTCATGAACCAACTTGGCAAACCATTCCCTGGGGCACCAAAATTCCATGTTCAGTGGTGAATTTCGGTGAAGTACCTGTTTCTGATGGTTAAACATTTTTTCCGTATCAAGAAAATTAAATCCGATCTTGTCTCAAGCTTAAATCCCTTTTTTGACTCAGTCATTTTCTTAAAAATCATTGTCCTTTCCACCATTTTTCCATGATATTCCCATTTTTCAAGCATCGGCACCTGTGTGCCGCAGGAGGTGGTGAACGTGATCAATCCCGTCCAGGCGGTGCTTGACCTGGCCACTCTCGCCACTAGCTGGGAAGGCGGCCCCTGGAGCTGGGGTTGATCTGACCCCACACCATTCATAATGTATATATATGTACAAAATGATATTCGCACAAAAATATGTAAAACAAGTATAGAAAGAGAGAAGCTGAAAATATATATATATATATATATATTTATTTATAGTTATATAAAGATACTCCTTGCGATTAAGATCAAACAAGCGTGAATCTATCTATCTATCTATCTATCTACCTATCTATCTATCTATCTATCTATATATATATATATAGATGTAGATATCCATAATTTCTAGATTCAGATATAGATAGATATCCATATATATATATGTGTGTAGATTCTAAAGATTTCAGTATTTATTGTAATTAATAGTTTTTTCAATCATATCCAGTTTCAGCCCCATCAATCCTTGCGAGGCGCCAAGGTCATCCTGGTGGTCTTGACCAACGGCGTCCTGCAGGACCCCACCTTCGCAGCGGCCATGGCCATCTGCCCCGAAAACAAATGGGGCGTCTTGGTGCCGGTGAAAGCGGATGAACAGTGCCTTGGATGAAGATGGATGAAGGGCATATGGATGAATATGACTGAAGATGGGGTTTCCATAGAATCTGGATGTCAGCTTTTTTCAAATAGTTGATTTAGCCACGAAAAAATAGTGTTGATGTTCCATAGTTTTTTGTATGTTTACCAGAGGGTAATGGGAATAAATGGGGGTTTCCTAAGTCATGGGGGATCCCCACCAGCTGGATGGTTTATTTCATGGCAAATCCCAAAATAGTGGATGATAAATGGGGTAGCCTTTCATTCTGCTCGGCTCGGGTCTGGTAAGACGCCTGCAGGACTAGATCCGCTGTGGTCCTCTGCTGTGCACATAATTGACTTGGCACCTTTCACTTCGCTTTCTTTAAAGCGGCTACTGAGTGGAACGTTTGCTCTTGTAGTAATCGGCTTTCATTTCACTGCCCCTGTGATCGCAGAAGTAAGGGTCATACTGCCCACACAGACACTGTATGTAGAGCTGTTTGAAGTCCTTGTGGCTCGCAAATTTCTCCTCCTCTGTCAGCTGTTGTGCATAATCAAAATAGATCAAATAGGTTTCCGCCAAGATTTCGCACATCTTCGCAGGGTATTCTTTAGCTTGCATTGTCATCCACCCTTCTCCTTGCCGCCCAAGAATTGTGATGGTCGCCATGTCACGTCATAGCCGTCATAGCTTTTGCTTCTGGATCTCCGCTTGGGTTGCACCCATTGGCGACAGGACCAGGTCACGTTGGACAAGACAAACTGGATTCGCGCACCTCTCCCTAAAGTGCGTGTCAAAAACCTCTTGATAAGAGCCCTGCACCTGCTTCTGCCCTTCCGCAGAATTCGGTGCCAAGAGGGTTCGACCAGCCTTACCAATTTGATTGTCACAACCAGTGAAAGCCAGCAACGCAAACCAGAAAGGCGAGGAGAACCATGCAAACTAGCGACTCCCCTATGGTTGTTAGCTAAGGGAACCAGCAGTAGTCACGCGACTGGCTCCCCTTCAGCCGAAACCTTGAAGGGTTTTTTTTTGTGGG